CTTTGCTTGGGAACGCTGTTGAAATCTGCTGCCAAGCATGCAAAAATTGATGGACACAGAAAAACCTACGGAGTTGTTTTCCCACATGATTCAGACACGGAAAATGTTTCTTTTAAGTGAAGAGCCATATGGGAAAAGTGTATTTGAAACATGTTCATGCCGATATTTCACTGATGAATTGTACCATAGTCTCAAGTTTTTCTACCTGCATATATTACTTGTATGTTAAAATTGAATTACACCAGTTTATTCAGCTCTATCTCTGTTGCTGTTTTCTTTTCATGTGATTTAAAACATTTAAATCTTTATACTGGGACAAAGTCTATATTTAATACCATAGATGCTCACCCCTCTGAAAAAAATAGCTGTGGAGCTTCAATTCACGTCTATTTCCCATCTTTTTTTTCTTTTTTTTTCTGACAACCAGTAGATCTCTTTACACTCGCTGCTTTCACTCTTCACTCTCTACTCTTTCTCTTCCTCTGCTGCCCTCTATGTAACTCTCTCCTAATACAGCCCGTGTTTCATCTGTTACTCTTATTTCTTTAGTTATCCATCAATTCCTCTGTGTATCTAATTCACATTTCCCCGTGGTCCCCTCACCCTCAGCTGGGCTCTGTGCCCGGGCGGTTACTGTAGCTCTGCTGGCCGATCCTGCTGTGATCTGGTCCAAGCCCACACTGCTTGCCTGTCCTCCGTCATACGCTTTGACTGCAGAAGTTACATTTGAGGAACAAAATGTTCAGTTGAGGCTGTCAGAGATGTGTAATCCTACTTTAATTAGTGTTGTGTAGAAATAGTTACTTAGTATTTCAGATTCTTGACTAACAGTATACCATCAGGCGCTGGTGTGTTAACCGAATGGTAACTTACTCGGTGTAAAACACAGTGTGATGTAATTCTCGGTTCTGTAAATTTATATTTTATGTTCAGTTTATGACTCAACTTCTAAGAAGAACAGATAGTGACAAAAGTTTGTCAGTGCACTCTAATCTTGTGAGTGGGTGTGTGATGGATGGATGTAATGGAGTAAAGATCCACAGCGGAGTGCATCAGAGCAAAAAAATAGCCGAAAAAGTCACCTTGCACTGAATCGTTTTAGAGCATGAAGCGGCACCGTGGGTCGTCTCAGCTCAGCGGTGTTAAGCTGACTAGCGTATGACTTGTTTATGAGCCTGAAGCTAGGGGGAAGGTGAGTGAGTAAATGGAGACATGCCAGAAAAATCCTTGAACAGTGTGTGAGAGGCCTGTATGACCTCACATAAACTGCAGTTATATGCAGCATTCACTTGGTACTCATCTCTTCCATTACTAGCTCATCTCTTTTATCTAGAAAACACAGCTAGTGTCTTTGTTTTGTTTGTCACGTCATGCACGGATACAAGGCTGCATTAGCACACAGCAGTGCCTCAGCAAAGAGAGGAAAGACAGAACCGCATTAATCAGATCAGTCGGACACTTTTGCATTTACGTAATTATGACTTATGTGCGTGTTGGTTAGTAACAATTTCTTTTTTGTAGTTGGCAGAGTATCATTTTCAGCTGGGGTCAAATAAGCTCACTGGTTTTGTCTGTCTGTCAGTCTCTTCTAGACTGAGCTAATCACATCTTGAAAGCACCTTTGTACCAGTGAGGAAACAAGAATGGACTTCAGCATCAAGGTCAACAAAAGCTGTGGCTTTTTTTGTAGACTTGCTGAGAAAGACAAAAAAGCTGCAACTTATGCACTTTGTAACATCAAGCTATAGTTTTTTGTTAAAGGGCCAAAGATGTGGTTTACTAGCGCCTCAAGCTTACTAGGTTTCTAGGCCAGGTTATCATGTAAAACTGTGTATCTCAACGACTGTGGTGAGTGCTTTGTGATAATGTTGAAGAAACAATAGAAAAAGAATACGAGAAAATTAGCAGCTTTGATTCAGTTCGCTTTTTTTGTTTGTTTCTTTGTTATCCTGGTGGCTGCAAAAGTTTTAGCAGTTCTGTGAAACTTTTAAGTGATGGTAGCGACTTCAAAGGACGATGAGTAGTATCAGAAACCTCTAGAAACCTCTTATGAGTCCATTTATCAACCAGACTGTGGGACATGTGTGGAGACCGGGGGTGTCAAACTCATTTTTAGTTCATGTGTCACATACAGGCTGATTTTATCTCAAGCACACTGCAGCTTAAGGTCAGTTACGAAAAAAAAAAAGTCTCAACAATTCGTCTGTTTCTCCACATTCAGTCGCTGTAATCACAAAGAACTGATATTGGACGTCAAAGAAACACATTGACCTCACACCTCTGCTTAACTGTCTTACTTCGGTGGGGTATGGCCGGTCATGGGTAACGTCTAAAGATTTAGACCTCAAATTAACACTGACCCCTTCTTCATTATTAATGACTTGCAACACCATGCTTTTTGGTGCAAAGTACAGAGAAAGGAGAAAAAAAATGATGCCCTGCTTTTCTCAGTTTTCACACTTTTCACCCACCTTTGCAAAGCTAAACGTCTCAAAAATATGGTTTTAGATAGGAACCAAAGGCAGGACACTGAGGCAAGAAATAACAAAAAAACCCTTCTCAATTAAGCCAGCAAAAAAAGATAAAAACTTAAAGCCTAAACAAGGAGCCTCAACATGATCCTAAACAAAGATCATGAAAATAACTAGAGGGGTATACTACAAAGGCGGCTCAATAAAGCCAGGCTTTCCTACTCCAGTCAGAGATAATGGGCATCACAACAGCAATTATCAGGTTTCTCTGTCAAGTCGGGCTTTCTGTTTCAGTCTCTCTGTCTGCTCGCATGAATGGGGGCGTTTCACACGTCATATGAGTCTTCTTTCACACAAAATGATCCTTATGAGTGCCGCCTACTTCAGTCACAGATGTTATCAGGTAATGATAATAAAATGGGGTTTTAAAAAAATCTATAAAAAATAATATAACAATACAGTTACAAGCAAGACAAAAGGTTAATGCTGCCAGAAATCACAGAGTGAGAAAATAAGCAATTGAGTTTGAGTTATTTTAATGCCGATTGGGCTCTCAGTGCTGCTGTTTGTTTCTAATGTGATGGCTGAACAGGTATTCATCGCGCGTGTGTGTTGTTTTTACATGACCAGCTCACCTAGTCATGTAAAAAGATGGGCACTTTTGTCACACAGACAAGCTCAACATAGATTGCTAACCCATTAATCTTGCTTCACAGTAAACCCCTCTGAAGAGGACGATCTGACTACGGATACGCAGGGGATTAATTGGAGACTTTTAAAGGATTAGGCATATTTGAACAAAATCAAAGGTTCTGAAAAAGATCAAAAGAGATGTACGGGGAAAACCAGCAATCACAGCAAAACAGGAAAAACTCAAATGTGAGATAATTACCACAGAGACAAGACGACTAACATTAAACGTTAGTTAAGGGAGATGCTATGTTAGATGTTAAGGAAACACTGTCGTAGTCATGACCATGTCATTTGAGGTGAGCACTAGCATTTAAGTACACGCTGAGCCTGTCATTGACAGTGAGTCTGTGCAGATATACTAAAGCTGAGTTTGTGACCGGGCTACAGCTTTATCGGACGCCACTCATGCCTCTTGCTGCTCGAGCGGAGCACATTCCAGCGCTAAAAGTCAAAGATATTTCAGCTTTTAGCTCACCAGTGCTGCACATTAAATGGGTTGTCAGTTGTTTCATAGCAACAGCAGTGGCCTAGACGAGTGCTCACCTCAAGCAGCAATTGGAGCCAAACAAATAAAAGGTGCAGAGGGTTATTTATAGCTCCACGTCATTCACTATATTACTATTAAAGGTGAACGCCTTTCCAATTCTTCTGTTTAATAATTTCACTTGTACTCTTTAACATTTCACAAGCACCTCTTATGTTGAAGTGTGGACTCCTGACCAATAGCGATCTGCTATTACATAACACAGATTGCAGATAAACCTTTCATTCACTAATTGGCAACTATTCCCAAAACACTTTGTTCCCAGCCACGGTTTGTCTTGATAAGGAATTTCACGGCATATTTAGAGCTGATAGTGCTCACCCAACCGTGTGTCAGACTTCATCTTGTGCAACGAAGTCCAATAAAAATCATAACAAGGTATCAAATTCCAGATGAGTTGCAGTTTCGTCAGAGATGTCAACACAGAGACTTTGAAGGAGGAACTTTACTGTGTTATCAAATAGAAGATTACTGGCAGCAGTTACACGCTAACAATTTTGTCAGCTGAAAGCTTTTATTGTTGGACCGACTGATTCAAAAAGTCGTGCTTTTTGGAAAAATAAAACTTTCCGTCGTTCGTTCGTTTTTTTGAACTTTAGCAAGTGAGTTTGTATGTTAGGGCCCACCATTCATCCTAAAATAACTGGTTTTAATGGGCCTCTGACATCAATGTTCAGAGGTAGCAAGGTGGGTTAGTTTTAAAGCAATCTCTATTAAAAGGAGTTTATGACATTTTGTATTTAAACTCGTAAACTCGATCACTGATAGATCACACAGTCTGCCTGGGAAGAGGTGACTGCTGAAAGCATCTGGTGTAACGTTTGGTTCCAGTGAAGCTCTGTAAACACAAATCTCAGCAGCTCATGTCTGGAGACAGCAGACTTCTTGGACCAAATTAATATCACAGCAGCTTTCTGTATCTAATTAAAAGAAGCTGCAGGACGAAAACAAATGCAGCGTCTGAACGCTCACTAATTAATACAGTGTTGAAAATCTTTGCATTGCTTCAAAAATGGCAAAGAAATGAAAGAAAAAAAAAAACCCCTAATTTTTATGAATAGATGGGTTGGATTTATTTTTTCTTAACAATCTGAACAGTCTGGAGCTCTCCTAATGAAATATTTATCTGAATATGTGCATTTGAAATGGCCTTTTCTGGTCACGCCTGGTGTCTTGGGCAGACAGTGACCTTGCTGCTTATGGCACAAATGACCTCGCACGGCATCAGGACTGCGAGCCAGAGATGAGAATTAACAGTCTGTCAGTCAAAGAGAGACGGCAATCCCCTGAAGCCAGTTGACAGTTTGCTGAGATTTAATGAAATGGGTGGCACAGCACACGTCCCTCGGCTTAGGCTGAAAACCTCCAATGGAGTGACAGTGCCTCAATTTTATTTACAAATTGAAAATCTAAAAATATAAGAGGGGAAAATAATGAGAGCGGTGTTAAGAAAGCATCCTCCTTTATCAGAGTTCATCCGCTAACTTTTTCTCCAGATAGCAGAGTTTCTTTATTTGTGTCTGTTTACCCCAAGAAGGGAAATTGGATTTTAATTACTCGAGTGCAAGAGTGCTGCAAATATTTTTAAAATTAGGAACTGTTGCAACAGTTTGGAGATGTGCATAATTAGAAAAGTGAGGACTGAAATCACACAGTGTCTCACATTCCTGATGATTTTAGAAGCAGACTGGTATATGTGCAGTTATAACCAATGGAACCAATGACTGACACGCAATGCAAATGGGAAAAAAAACAAAACAACAGTATTTATTTAATGACTTGATACCATTTTAGTCCTTTAAATACACTCGGTGAGTAGTTTGACATTTTTTTGGGACATACACTTCCTTCCCACTCTCATGTCTATACTAAATATAAATGTGAAGCCAGTTGGCTCAGCTTTGTGAAGGCAGTCTTTGTAAACGGCCTGTGGCTGCGTGTAGGTCTGTGAAGATCCGGATTTGTTCTCTTGTTTATTTTCTCATGGGTGATCACATGACAAGAGTTTTTGTTACAGCACACGAGAGTAAATGACCAGATGTTGTTGTTGGAGTTGGTGGTTATTACTGCCTTAGGCCAGCCTCCTGATTGGCTTTAAAACTAACCTTGGACCCCCACTGGGCCAACATGAAGTCACTGTTCCAGTCTTTACCTCAGTGTTCTCCTCATCCAGCTGCCCCCTCATCTTTTCTCTCTCCTCCTCTTCTTCTCTCTCCCTCCCGCTCTCCGAGCTCGTATCCCACCTCTCCTCCTCACTGCTCAGTCTCATCAGCTCCACCTCGACTCCCTCTTCTCTCTCTTCCCCTGTGTTTATCTCCCTCTGCACACATCCCTCCTTGTTCTCTAGCTCTTTCTTTCGGCTTTGTTCCTGCTCTTCAGCCTCCAAACTCGGCTGTTGTTCTGGCTCCACTTCTGCCTTTGTCTCTGCCGTCTTTTGTTTTCTCCTCGCACTTCCCACTTCTGTCTGTGCCTCGAGCAAAGCTCTCAGCTGCTGCTCTCTGCGTTTCCATTCCTCCTCCAGCCTTTGGTACATGTGAAAGGAGAAGTGCCACCCTCCGTTCTCCTCCAGCATATCCTCCACTTTGCTCAGCAGCTCTCTCACTTGCTGCTGCTCTCCTTCTCGTCTCCTATCCAGCTCGCCTCCGGTGCTCACCCCTCGTGCTTCTTTGTCAGTTTTCTTCAGCCAAGTCCATTCCTGTCTCCTTCCACTTCTGTTCACCTCCTGCTTTAGTCCCCCCTGCGTGCAATTAACAGCTGCCTTGTTATCCAGCACATGGTATCGATAGTGACATTTCTCCATCAGCCACTTCAGAGCAGGGCCACCTGTTTGGATGTGCTCCTGTACACTGCAGCCTTTTTCTTTTAGCAAGTCTCCAAAAGTGAACAACACCATCGTGTGTCTCCAGACAGCAGAGGTGAAGATTTCCATCCTTCTCTCTACTGCTTTCCTCTCAGACTCGGTAAAGTCCATAAGAGGAATCACTAACAGAACCACATGAGGCCCCTCAGTTCCACACAGCGATAATGCTCTCAGGAGTTCAATTTTCTCCTCTTTGGGAACAAAGTCCTCAGATGTTCCCCAGCCCTGTGCATCCACCACGGTCAAATGGCGTCCAGCAGTGACAGCACCAGCTGCTGCACTGGCCCCTCCTCCTCTCGTGTCAAAAACCCGCCCTCGACCCAACAGGGTGTTACCCGTGGAGCTCTTCCCTGTCCTCCTGGGACCAAGCAGCAAAGCTTTGAGTGCGCGTGATGCTGTTGGAAAGAAAAGAGCAAGAAAACTTTGAATCCAAAGACCCGAGTTCAGTGTGCTTGTTATAGATTTGTCAATTGCTAAAGTCAAGAAAGGTAGAGTGCAGTGAGTGGCAGGAGTGACTCATACTCGCCCACTTGTAATCATATTTTACACCTCATATGAATCATATCCATTTCACTGTCTTGGAGAGATTTGAAACAACACTCAGGCTTTTCTGCATCTTTCTTCCCTTCAGTTTTTTGCACACTGGAGGTTTGTTACTAACAGATGCCTGCTGTTATCTTTAACAGCAAAACAATATCTGAAAAACTAAAGCCCGCTAAGTCAAAACGTCATGCACAAATTCTGGTCTTAGATTTGCCTGCAGAAATTTTTATTATTATTATTATTTTTTAACTTTTGTGAAATCTCGTCACAAATACGCCTTCTAGGATTGCAATTACTTACTTGCATGCATAGGTGTGTTCCACCAGCTCTCCATTGCGGGTGATTTCCAGATGTAGCTAGTATAAGTTTCCTCCATAACAACTTTGGTACCACAGCGGGGATTCCTGAATCCAGCTTCCCAGGATAAACAGCCTGTAACATGAAGAGTGTTGAGCAGTGCAGTCTGGCAGAGCGGATACTCCATCCACTTATGAAGTTTGACAAAGGCACCTCCCAGTTTTTATTGCTCTCTTGATATTCCTGAGAATGATTAAACCATCAAATCGTTTATGATTTCCGTCAGTTTGTTTTTAACAATTATTTTGTTTTTTAACTTTTGAAATTTGCTTATTTACTACACCAAGATTTAAATGTACAATAATGTACAAGCAGCGTTGTTGCATTACAGCATAATGGAGATGGTAAGCTTGCATCAATTAAATGTGAATGGCTTCCTGTATGTAGGGACACTGCAGTAGAAGCTGCAGCACAATAACAGCATGCGCAGATTTACTATAAGCGATCGAATGTAGGTTTACATGTTTTACGTGCATAACTTTTTAAAACGTTTTAATACTTAAGTCGATGCATTTTTACTCTAAAGGCCAAAACGAGTCCTTCGTATTACTGCTATTTTTGTTTTTGTCTTAGTAAATTATTAATATATGAAGTGGTAAACCTCCTCATCATCTGAATTAAAAAAGTTCATTTCCTTGACAGATTGCTCATCGACTTACTCGCCCCGCTTTACTTCCGTTTTTTTGTTTTTTTTGTCTTACAGGTTTTATGATTTTACAGCTTGTTTTGATCATAAACCTCTCTGTCTCTGCTGTGTAATGTCCGGGCTCACGTGCCGTGCGTCTCTAACCTTAATCTGAGCACGTGCACCTCACAGATAACGGTGTACTCGGACTGTGAACACATGCCTGCAATTTTGCGTCAGCCTGTGTTGTTTTTGTGCGTGAGCAGCAGCACTATTGATTGTTACAGTTTTCCATTATCTAAAGCTAAAGTCAGCACAGCTAAACTTAACATGATATCAGAATGATCAGTAATAGTATATTATAAGGCTCTGAAACCTGAGATGTGCTGCATTTCTCCTTTAAAATTGTCTTGCTCACAGTTTAGGCCATTGTGCTGGATGAACATGGACTTGCTGCGTTTAGCAGCATTTTGTGTTCTAGGTGCAAATAGAGGCGCAACATTAAAGATAATCAAGTGAAGATATTTTAACTTTTCTTGTAAATTAGCTGATTTCTAAATTAGAACCACAGAGGTGGATTACAATCCCAGGTTAGATTCCACGGTTCAGTCTCCATCACTTCTGTCTCTCTTACCTCTCTGTTTTTGCACCTGATCCCCTTTTTTGTTTTGCACCTGATGCTTCTGTGTGTGTGTGTGTGTGTGTGTGTCTGTGCGTGCGTACGTGCGCGTGCGTGCGCGTGCTGGGGGAATCCATGCTCTGACCTGAGAGGTTAAGCCAGTGAAGGATCAGCTGGGTTTTTAGCTCAGTCTGTTTCTATTAGGTCGGTGGCAAAGGAGTGCCTGCTGAATGTGTGCACGTGTAAGAACTCATGTTTGTTTACAGGAAGTGTCAGTGTGTGTGTGTGTGTGTGTGTGTGTGTGTGTGTGTGTGTGTGTGTGTGTGTGTGTGTGATGATCCTTGAGTTGCCTTGAGGCTACAGGAACAGAAGCCTTTTCCGCACGTATGCTGTCCCCAAACTTTCCTCGCTGCTTCTTCTTTTCTTTTTTTTAATTTGTTTTGAACTTTGATCTGCTTCTTCTTCTACTGCTTTGTTTTTCTCCCTCTGTCTTCCTTCTTTTCTTCTGGCACACACACAAACACACAGCGACCTTCCTAATTGTGTATATAATTAGGTTACTCTCTCTAATGAGGCTGCCCATCTTTGAAATTCTGAAATAGTGTTTACACAGCACATTACATCTGTTAATGTGCTAAAGCCAGGCACTCTCTGTCTAGGTTTGTTTAATTATTCAGTTGTTTTAAAAGCATTTATCCATAAGAAAGAGATTATGGACTCTCCTATAATCCATTGATTGGTTTGTGTTACAGGGAACGCCCGCTTTCTATTATCACAGCCACAGTGAGCAGTAGGAGGAATACACTGATGTAGCAGATGTTGGTGTCTGAACCATAGAAACATTCCCAGTAGCACCAGCCAATCATTTATACAGTTATTCAGTCTTTCTGTGAATTTGTTATTTTTATCATCTTTGGTATTTTCTCATCTAAAAAGATATTTTTTTATATCCACTTTTACATTAATATCCTTATTAATTAGTTAATAATATGCCACAGATACTCCTTGTCATCTGTTCTCTCTGGCTGTTCCTCTATCCATCTACTCTTTTAAGCTGGAGCCTATACAAGCTGTTATAGGACACCCTGCGCAGGTTACAACTGTACCACACTGAGATTAGATATGTGTGTAAGTGATCCAGTGTCATCATGTTACTCAATAAGTTGTTGAGAACTGCACCATTTCACACCATTAACACATGTTTTTGGCCACTGGGCTATTGTAAGTGCGACTTTAACGGCATTTTATGAAAACCATGGCTAATTAGCTAAATGCTAACGAGGTTAATGGGAACAGTGAGACTAAATTGAAGCAGTAAGAGTTAAATTCAAACAAAAAAGTAGCTAAAAGATGCTAAAATGCTGTGTAGACTGGTTATTCTGGCTTGAAGTAATAATGTCCTTGACATATCTTACACAGGTTAAATGCACAGTTTGAAAAATCCCGAGTCTTCAGTCTCTTTACACACAAGGTCTGGGTCTCTTAATTTAAGATGTTCTTAGTAAATTATGCCAACGATTTCCTCTAAAATTGAGATTTGTATGACTAAAGCCGCCTTCCTGCAGTTCAAGGGGATCTGAGGGTCAGACAGGCCCACTGTGCTCTGTCTCTACCTATTTATCACTCTCACTCTGTCGAGTCCACCCTTCCCTCTTATCTCACGACCTCTTCACATCTTTCTCTGCTTCATCTACTTTGCTCTTTTTACCTCTTCTTCACCCCTTCCCTTGCTCCCTTTATTCCTGTCTACCGCTCTCTTACATCTTCTGTTCTTCCCTCTCTCTTATCTCTCTGCCTGCCTTCCCAGAGGAGACAGTAAACAGTGGATTTACAGTAATGGTAAAAAGAGAGCAGGGCTTAAAAAAGAAGCACCACTGTGGCTTGTGTTACCACCAGCTCCGCTGTACCGGCCAGCTCTGCCCACAGTGCCCATCTTTCTGCGTGACACTAATGTGGCCGGTAAGACGTGAGTCATACCACTGACGATTTAAAGTTACCCAAACATTTCAAGGAGGAGTTTGCTCTAGGAGGACTTGAAACACAAAGGATTTGTCTGTGTGGGACGGGCTTAGAACAACTTTGTTTGTAGCCATTAGTGCTCCCACCCCGTGGCTGCATCCCCCCACCCCCCATTTTTTAGTATGAAAGCGGTTTCTAACAAATCCTCCATGGATTGTTGCAACATTACAGCATTAGTTCTGCACAGTGGCGTCTTCAGTGTGTCCTAAAGTGTGATAGTGGTAAAAACTGTTGGTGTCACACAATGAACTGGGGAAGCAGATACAGGATGCCACCGGAGGTACATTAGTAACTTCTTTCCATGTCTGTGAAGGATGTTTGGCAAAGTTCAGCTTCTAGTGTTTGCAGAGGACTCGGAGAATAAAGAAACACCTCCCGCTAATCCTCGTCTTTGCTGTTTTTGTTTTTGTTGTGACGTTTGAATCTGGTTATTTTATACAAATTCTCTTTGTTGTGTCATAACGAATAATTTAAACCCACTTTCTCATTACTGGCTAGGCTCAGATTTGTCAATTTAAATATTTATAAGCTGTTTTTACTGCACTGCTCGCCTCCCAGAAGATCTAAGCAGGCTTTATATTTAATATTCTGCACTGATTTGTTCTACATACAATGTGAAAGTCACACTCTTGGGGGGAGCATATAGTAAAAGCAATGCACTGAGACTCAGACCGGGCAGGAAGCTGCGCAGCAGGGCTATTAAAACAAGGGAAGTATCTGATAGACCGGATTTTAAATGGGATAAAGATTCAGCGCCTCGAGAATCAATTTTTTCTTTCTGTCTCGAAACAGCCTCACACTTAAAGCTTCTGTGTCGTGATAATCTGCTGACTTTCTGGTTTGATGTAGCCAGAAACTTGGCCCACTATTAGAAAGATTTAAAATATGTAAAAAGTAGTTTAAGCATATCAAGCCTTATGTTTAGGCTTGAGGACAAGAAACCGCACGGGAAAGACTCCAGTCCGGCCCACTGGACGACTCTGGAAAACTCTGGACTTAAAAATCTATTTTAATAATTTTTATGGGTGCTTTTTTTTCTTGGCTGATAAAGACCTCTCCCATGGCCATTCATTATACATCAAAGTAATTAAGTAAAAAATAAAAATTAAATGACAAAATGACTATTTAATGACCATAGGCTATAGAAGTTTTTTTCTTTTGGGCCACAATCGTGTTTTATAATTACAGCAAAGTGTGGGAAATGAGCTGCCAGGATGGTTTTGGTAATTCTTCACATTTTCTTCTCACATTTTAAGCACAAAGAACCACACTAGCACATATCTTTTATTTACTACTGCAGGATTTATTTATTTATTTTTAATCATTGATGAAAAACTAACACATACTGTTGAAATTTCACTTCTTTTGTTATATTAAGATTTCTGTAGTTGAACTGGTCCAGCCCACAGTTGATCAATATGGGCTTTATGTAATTGAGTTTGTCATGCATTTACATTAACTGTAAAACGTGATCCTCGCATTGTCGTGTCTGCTTGTGCACGAGAAGTACTGCTGCAAAAACACTGCAGAGATGGTTTAGAGTTGTTTGGTATCTATGGAAAGATTCTGCAAATACTTTTACAACCTTGCCCATGAGCTCGAGTGAAGGTTGAGTATACAGATGGGCTTGACCTGGTGCATACGTAATCAGGCTGTGAAGCGTGGTCACGTAGCGATCACGTGAACACTCATGGGCCAAAGATCAATATGTTGACAGGCTTTTGAAGTTTTTAGTTTTCAGGGATGTAAATATGTTTATATGCCAGAACCTCAAAGAATCTCATTTGTACCTTATATGCACTGTGAATGTAAGCAGCCTTACACAGCCTTTTCTACAGGGGGAAAATAGAAGTGTAAATTAGCGAGGAGGCTATTTAAATCAGAAAGTCAAAAGTTCTGTATTAAAATGTACTTAAGATCAGTACCCACCCCTGCCATGTGCTTGAGTGGACTTATTTGCCCTTGAGCAAGCTCAAAGGCTGTGCATGTGGACGTGTGTG